CTGTGTGTGCCCGCCATATTGGAGAATCTACGCATTCATACGATTATGTGGCGATTTTCTTGTGTCTGTCTGAGGTAGCAATTTGAGGTCACAGACAACCACATGGCATGCAGCCCGTATCCCTGGGCCTCCTAGGAATTGGTCTAAAGCGCTGGGCATGACGGCCCGTAAACAAGATACGTGCCAGGGTAAGTTGATGTAAACGGGCCAGTGAAAACACACCGTCCATTTTGCGTTTTACGCCAGGGTCACTAGAACTTCGAAAGCCAGATATTGTTTGGCACTGTTGATTTAACACGAGAGGGTGGTGAAAAGCGGTCAGGTTCACCGGGTAGTACCACTTCCTAAAATATTTCCACCAAATTGAGGGCCGTAGGAACACCCCAAAAGGGACAAAGGCAAATCAACACCTTAATAAATTCATTTTTTTTACATTCACCACCGTGCGGTTTCCCTGGCTGGTTTACTACACTTGCTTTAAGCAGAAGTTTGCTTTAAGGGTTCATCTGCTAAGTTTAAGCCACAACATGAACACGATGGCTTTACCACAGTGTGACCATTCCGCCTTGAATCAAATTAAATTCCGCCTTAAATTCCGCCGACATCAAATGCCTCCAAGCCATGGTGATTTCAAGTGCAGGTGATTAATAGATGCTAGTAATGTTCACTCACATTTTGAATTTATAAATGAACTGAATGACAGCAATAACTCAAACCCCCCATTACGTCACTTCAACAATCAGGCAAATTATGCCTACGAGTTCGTAGCGTTACCACGGGAGGCGAGCCTCAAAGGTGGGCTTTCAATTGCAAGATTGCAGGTGTTCGAGGTCCGTTGTGGCGTAAAACTGCTTGTTGGGTTCTGAATGTTTTGCCCATTTAGTGACTCACAAAAATTAGAAATGTGTTTTGATAGTTCCAGTACCTTTAAGGTGTGATGGCGGCATTATTCCATTCGCTAGAAAAGGGGTGTTTGAGACACTTCTGAATATCTCCGAAACCAATTCAACCATAGGTGGGGAACACGCGAAAGAAGTGGAAAGGGAAAGTAACAAGCAACAAGCCAAGCGGCCGCGCACTGAGCAGCGGAACCGGGGCAGCCCTGCCCGGTCGCCTGCCCAGGCCCAGCCGCCTCCCGGCCGAGCTGCTCGGATGTCATTGACCTGGGCGAAGATGGCGGTAGGGTGCGGCCGCGACACGGCCGCTCGGTCTTGCGGAACTCCAGAACATCGGCAATACGAGCTTCGTGAACGCGTGGGTGTAATGTCTGAGCAACACCCGTGCGCTGCATGACTACATCCTTCGAGACGAGTACTTGGGAGAGCTCGACACGACCACCTCCGCCATGGAGCGTGCTTTCATCAGAGCATTTGTCACGCTAGTGTGGTACCTATGGAAGAACCCAGATGTGACCGACCGGGCGCTGACCATCTCCCCGTTGAAGGTCAAATTCCAGCAGCCTGCCGCCCGATTCACCGGTCATCAGCAGCAGGACGCACGAGAGTTCCTCATATACCTGATGGAGGGCTTGCGCGAGGACGTGAACCGTGTTGGAAACCAGCCCGAGCCCAAACCCACCCACTTTGATGGCAGCCTTAGTGCTAGTCAGAAACCGCTGGGGGCCTGCAAGCGTTTCCTGCTGCTGAAGAACTCGAGTGTTGTTGACCTGTTTGTCGGACAGCTCAAGTCCACGCTGCGGCGCACGGTTTGCGTCCACGCGTCCCTGACGCTTGACCCCTTCTGGGACCTGAGCCTACCGACCCCATCGATAGCGGGCCAGGTGCACTTGCAGGACTGCTTTGGCCTTTTTGCCAAGGAAGAGATGCTTGGTGGAGAAGGAAAACCGACGTGCTCCATGTGCTAGAAGGGTCAAAGGTGATCCAAAGCCTTCAAGATTCAGAGGTTCCCACGCATCCCTGTAGTGCACCTGAAGCGGTTCTTGCTGCAGCCGGATCACAACGGGCACAAGCTTTATGCAACTGAGGACTTCTCTGCCGGTGTTCTGGACCTGTCGCCATACTGTGCCGTTCCGAGAGGCTGGATTTACGAGCTGTCCGGCGTGGAGCACCATTCTGGTGTGGCGCACTCGGGCCACTACACGGCCCACTGCAACACCCCGATTTAGAAGTCTGGCACGAGTACAGCAACGCGAGAGTTCAGCCCACCCATATGCACCGCGCCAACAGCTGCGAAGCGTACAAGCTGTTCTTTTCTTAGCTGGCCAGTAGCTAATCTGGCGCCGGCCTAAACGCCAGCACTCAAAGGAGTTTGAGAGGGCTGGCCATCCTTTCGTTTTGCCGGCTAAATACTAGCCCTGTTAACTTAGGAAAATAAATGGTTGCGGTATAATCATGCAAACTCGTGAACGTATACGACAGAAAAGGCGTAGGCAGTCGACAACCCGTAGGCCAGTTTGGTACCCTAATGCCGGTGGTATCATGACGCATGTGTGTCAAAACACCACATCCATGATAGCGATTGTTGGATGTGCTGAGGAGGCAGGGCGATGCTGGATGTATTGTCAATCCCATGCCCTACGCTTCTTCAATCATTGGGCTAATTCTTAATCTATTCTAGTCGCAAGTGTGGGTTTTTTAGAAATGTGATTACTCTGAAGCATTACGCACCACCCTACGCTGAAAGGACAATGGTACATTCGGATCGTGCGTTTGATCCCCCAATGGATTTATTTTGTGCGTCTGAGTGCGTGTCTTCCGGTCTTGCTCCATGCCATCCACCATGGGAGAAAGGTAAGGCCACAAGTGCAAAACGTGTGCGTTGAAAACATGGATGCAAGCTAACCTGAGAGCCGAAAACAACCAAATTTACGCAAAAGCGCTTTACCCTTGTACCATTCTTCAACCGTGACAGATTTCCGCCAAAGCTCATTCGGCAGGGCTGGGCAGAAAATGGACATATCTTTCCGAAAAATAACCAGCCATTGACCGGCCTTCTCGGTGCCAAACCATTGACTGGAAGGAGGGGAGGGGGGGGGGGGGCAAATTCCAGCCCACCTCTCTTGCTTATCTCACGAACGGCAGATCCGAATTATAAAATTACCATGGCGATCGATAACGCCAAGGCGTATGAAGTCAGACCACAAAACAAACTTAACACTGCACGGACCGGGGAGAAGGAATGTACCCAGTTTTAATTAACTTCTGTGAGGAACACCTTGCTAGACCTGGAAAAGGCAAGGTAGAAAACTCTTTCAGATCAAATTCTCGTTCTTGTTAGTTCCTTTGACATCATCCCAGAATGAAGATTGCTTTTCCTGGATTCCTCGGCATTATGTCGGGCTAGATCTTGTCTCGTTGAATCCCTTGGTGTATTCTAGAGCCGATCTTGGCTTTCACTGGTTGAAACCACCATGTAGCCTTGTATCAGGCTGGATTGTTTTTTTGTTGTTTTTTTTTGGGGGGGGGGGGCGGTTTGCCAGCTTGTTATCAGGCAAGAGTTTGCGTGCTGCGGGATCTTTTGGCCTTGTCAGGATGAAAGCTGGTTCTCCATGGTTACCTTGGCTTGATTTCAGACTACTACCTGAGTTCTTCCTGCTTCTGGAACCAAGAACTAGGAACCCATTCTCGGGAAAACGGCATTGGAACAAGACAAATGTCAGATGTTATGTAAGAATAGCAGAGCGAATAGTTCTGCCAAGTACACGGAGCTACCATCCCAACATCTTTAGAGCAATGTGCTTCACATACCACTGATCATCTGTTGTGGCCGTCTGTTTTGAAGAATAATCTAGTCATCAGTGTGACCAAAACAGCAACGCCGACGCTTGACATTCAGTTGGTCGAAGTGTTAATCAACATTTGTTACCACTATGGGGCGATGAGGTCATTAAAAGGAAACAAAAATCCCGTGCCGTCGGCTGACCGGGTGGCACGACCAATACAGTAGCACAGGACCCCGGGGGAAGAACATTATCAAGACTAGTGCAGGACGGGCGTTACCAACCATGGACTCCAAAGCTTTCCCAGGCGATGGGATAGTGGGTGAGCGCTGTGGTCCTATTACCCTCATCGTCGACTAACTGCGGGACTTGGTGCAATGGCAAGGAGCTCTCACCTGGCGATGAGGGACATGGCGGCGGGCACGGTGCCCATCTGACGACCTCCCAGCAGGTAACCCGTGTTGTCTTTCATCTCGTGGCCCTTGCAGACGCCAAAGTAGACACCAATGCCCAGCGAGAGCAGGAGGAGCAGCCCGAACACGGCATAGTCAAGCGCCGAGAAGCGCCGCACCAGCTCGTCCACGTTGATGCCAAGCCTCTCCACCGTCGCGGCCGTGGCAGGTATCGACGACGCCATCTTGTTGGTACGGGGAAGGAAACAGAGGTGGATAGGAAGCCCACCACCTGCCCTGCGAGGTGAGACCGCGACGCTACATGTATATGAAAACTTAAGATTAATATGTAGACAGACGAGTTGACCAAGAATTATCTTTCATAGCAATTTTGGATCCGTCACATACATTGGGCAAAAAATCAAGCGGTCCAGAGGCCCGTTGAGCTTAGCTTCACTTGGTGCACATCAGTGCGTTTCATTAAGACTCAATAACTCGGTGTAAACCAAAGCCCATGTTCAGCTTAGGGAATCACCTCACATTTACGTGCTGTTACGGCGAATCGACCACCAATTCGGGTAACAGCAGCGCCGGAAATTTCCCGTTTTTAACTAGCACGACCGCACCAACATCCTACTCACGATAAGGATCGAATGAACTCACTAGACTGGAAAAAATTGATAACAATTTTGGCTATCTAACGTATTTACGACGGGTTCGAGCGACAACAATAGCACGTCCAGGAGACGAGCATTCTGCTCACCAGCGGCACGCTGATGATATCTCCGCGATCTCGACAGACCTGAAGGACGGCCCAGGCGACGCAGTCGCTCGGTTCGGCTCACTGCTTCAGCGAGGCCCGGCTCGGCCCAGACCCCGCCAGGTCTGCCGGCGGCCCCGCGGCTGGGCGCGGATCCCCGCGGCTCCTCTCGGACCCGCGAGCGGTCGGCACTGATGCAGCGGCACGGCGGAGCCCGGCCGGCCAGCCGCCGCGCCAGACGGGCGTTTGTTGCCGAGCACGTCGGCAGAGCAAAAACTAAATTTAAACTGCACCGAGGCCATCGCACTGCGCCACTGCACGGCTGATCGGCAATAGAGCGTTCGGTTTGGAGATAACAGCGCCCGTCGAGGCGTCGGCGGACGGAGTTATTCATCCATGCTGCCTGGGCGCATGGGCTTATCTGGGTGCCAGCACCGCGCATATCCAGTCGAACGCTTGCCTTGTACGTGCCCGTATGTTTGTGTAACGTCACAAATGCTTAGAAAATACTGAGATCGGGGCGTGTTTTTTAACATGGTCGTCCACGGCTTCTCAACAACTCGTTTGGCAAGTCGCTGTGTCGACACTGCTTGCGCCATGCTTTCCACCAAGTAAGCGTTGGTTAATGAGCAAATGCCCGTCAGGTGTACAGCTCTCTGCAGGATGTCGCCGACGATAACCTGTTGCCGGGATCAGCCGAGTCCGAAAGAAGAACAAGGAGTGCGCTTGCCTGCTGTACATCAATGCATGGATCACCTGTTGAAAATCGTCAGCCATTCCTTTTCACCCTCAAAATAAGTCGGCATCTACCTTTCCATATCACCAGTCCTGGTTTCGACCTCGCAGTTGCATCGAGCTCAGCGGCCGTGTTTCTCCCTCCCCCCCCCCCCCCCCGCCCCCCAGCTCTCACAGACATCCATGACGGGCGGAGCGGCGTCCGTATCAGGTTGTTGGCACGCCACCGCGCCTCCGAAGTGGATCCGTTGTCTCCGCGGCTACCGCCTCTGGGCGACCAGAGGTCGGCGGCAGCCGCGTCACGCGGTACGTTCCGTCCAGGTTGGACTTGACCCGGCATGTCATGCTCACCGTCCGTACGACGTGCGAGCGTCACACAGCCTGGTGCAACGGCAACGCATCACACGGCCTGGTGCAACGGCGACGCATCGCACGGCCTGGCGCAACGGCGACGCATCACACGACCTGGTGCAACGACAACGCATCACACGGTCTGGGGCAACGGCAACGCATCACACGGCCTGGTGAAACGGCAACGCATCACACGGCCTGGTGCAACGGCAAAGCATCACACGGCCTGGTGCAACGGCAAAGCATCACACGGTCTGGGGCAACGGCAACGCATCACACGGCCTGGTGCAACGGCGACGCATCGCACGGTCTGGGGCAACGGCAACGCATCACACGGCCTGGAGCAACGGAAACGGGGATGTCTGATGCGACTTATGATGCATCTGCATCTCCGGGAATTTCGCGTCGAGGGGAAGAATTGTCACTTTTAGCCCTCCAACCCGACATCACCTGGGACACCCTGACTCCAGCGAGTCACACGGGGAACGTTTTGGCCCCCCCCCCCCGCTCTGATCATGAATTGATCTCACAGGTCCGATTTCCTACCATGAATGTTTCTATTGTCGACCTGAGGTCACTCATTACGCCAAAGATCAGGCCAAAACGAAGTGTTAGATAAATTTACGACCACTTGTCATTTGTGCGTAAAAACAGTTTCAGCGCTAAAAGAGAGATATGCCCTGCTGCCATTGTCATTGTCAGCCAGGCTGGACAAGTCGAGCTATTGGAGACAAATGATCTTTGGCACCATTGCGTTATGAAGCTTTTAATCAACTATAATGCTATGGTAATGTTTATCAATGCCACGCATGCTTCGTGGTCGAAGTTTGCCCGCGATGTGAGCAATAAGGACATAGCTGTCAAAATGCTGGACTGTGGCATGACTATGACAAAGCGCATAGGCTCAAGGCTATGCCTGATGCAGATAGCAAAATTTCATGTTCGAACCGTGTTTATTACTACGGTAGACAAATTGCGAATGTAATTATTCACCTGCGGTGACCTAGCAGGTGTCCGGAGTGACCTGCATGCACCAGTCCGTGCATTTAAGCCGATGTGCCACGAGAAGCAGGAGCATCCTATATCCAGGAAAACCAAGAAAAACTATAGATCTATAAATTGAGTGCCCACCTTGGCATAAATGAAGACATTTCGACATTTTCTTGCAAGAACTGGCTCACCACATGGTGGTCTGATCCTCTTGTGAAGGCAATGAAAATTCCAAGTCGAATTGGCATTTGTTCGGAAGCTAGGCCGGGAAAAGGGAGGCAAAAATTTGCCCAGAAACTCGCACACTGATGAATTCCGATCAATGGGTAGACCGCGCGTCATATCACCCCTCATGCTTGGTTTGACCTATCGTCACAGTGTGCGCAATGCAGCTGTTCTGTGAGCATGAATATTGTAATTTGGCCTAGGATTCAGCTGCATGGGTCCTGTCCTGGCATGGCAACAACTTGCCGAGCAGGAAACGATGGCGATTCTCCCCTGTGTTCCAGGACGACTTGTAGGCATGCAAAGATGTCGATCCCCGAGCGACGGAGTCCATAATCTGGCAGCCCTGAAAGGAGCCACAAAATGAGCTCAGTGTTAGGCCAGACATGAAATCACCAGGTCCGCAAAACCACCTGACGACCGGCTATAAAAAGTTAACACAAAGCCGTCCGGACGGTGACACTGAATGAGCCCGCCAAGTATGTTCTTTGCTCTTATCTTACAGCATGTGACTGAAGTGAAAACAAAAAAAACTGAGAAAGCATCGGCTCAACGGTGGCATTAGCCGCGTCACGTCGTCTCCTAACTGCGCAAGTGCCGGCAGTCAGGCAGACAACTCCACTTACCACAAGCAAGGAACTGATACCGTTCTGAGAAACACCGTGCTCCGCGGCAGCTGGACCATCTCCCCACGACAACTTGTATTTCGTGAAACGTGACTCGTTCTATAGAACTTCGCCGGTCGGATTTAAGTATAACTACTGATGTCAAACGAACAATGGGATAGATCGGGCAAACGGTGGGAAAGCTACGGTTTTGGTTAAGGATATTTAAAACATAATGACGCAATGTCGGCTACATGTGTCAGTAAATGCTATACAGTCAAATGACCTAAACGCGACAAATCAAACTCCCATGTCGCTGTAGCGTCCCAGTTCATAGGTATCGAGTACTTACAGAGCTTGCTTACAACACTTACAGAGCTTGCTTACAACACTTACAGAGCTTGCTTACAGTACTTGCAGAGGTTACAGACTTTTCACAGCCTACACACTTTAAAAGGGAGTATCCTACCTTTCGGGCGCATTTCAAAGGCATATTCTAGTCAAACCTTAGGACTAGTTACGTCTAATAAAACACCGGGTAGTGCCACTGCAGCACCGTCAGGATATAATAAGCATCTCAATTTTAATTATTTTGAAGTCCAAATTATGCTGTCTAACGCTTTGTAAGAGCTTTACGCTTCTTCCGTGCAGTCACGACCACCGTCGTCATGAGAATTACCGTGCGCACCCCTTCTAGTGCGGTTAAAGCGAATGTTTCACATTTGGAGAAAATGAATCAAGGATTAGATATGATGGAACAAACTCAGTTATGACTATTGGTACACTTAAAAGACTTCTCTAGACAGCATAATTTTCTGTTTACTAAATATGCTCCTCAATGCGTCCTGTTTTGACTACGTGATCGTATCTTGCAAAATATTGATTTAACGCCGATTGATGCCCGTCATATCTGGAAATCGTGCTCACGAACGCCTGATATGAACGCTTCGACAATTCCTTTTGTGGCTTTGGTCGCTGCAAAGCTTAAGAAAAAGCAGAATTTGAATGGCATTATTATGACGTCATGAATACTAAGGTGACTTTGAAACATTTTCCTTGAAATACTCTCCCCATTTTCGTGGGCATGTAACTCAAAAACTAGATGGGCATAGGTCTTAAGAAGGGCAGGGTGGTGAACAGGGTAGGTTGGTCAAAAGTGATCAAGATGACTATTTCAGTTCAAAACCCCGTATAAATGTCAAAACAAGTTTGGAACTGTGCGATGTTAGATGTAAGACATTCACTTGATCAGACAGTCGCAAATCAAGCTGTAAAGGACACTGAAACATGAAATGTGAGTTGTTAGGTGTATTGGCGAGGAGCACTATGTCATAGATAAGACGGTAGTAACAGTTTTTTTCCTCAGGGAAAACCAGGACAATGGAGATCTAGATGCGTTGATATTGCGGCAACATGCCTTTATCGAAGCGAAGAAAAGCAGCGAATTAAAACTTAACTCACTTCTGCGTTTCGTTTCAACAAAGGCATAAGCCGAAGCATTAACGCATGCGTACATCTAGTATCCTGGGTATTTCCAAAGAATGAGGCAATTTTTCTGTCTTGTCTATGAAAAACGATATGTTCAGTGCTTTCAAACATTGCTACGATGTGCCTTGGTCATGAGCATTCAGAGAAAGAGCGTGCGTAACTGGCATAAAGGTTTCATGCCTTTTCTTTTTATTAGGAATGATCAACGAGGTTTTGGCTTGATCACATCGGCCTTACAACATTGACCACAACAGGCCGTGCAGCGATTTGAAATAAAAAGCACATCCTGCCACAACCGGATACCAAAAACTGCCTTCCTCCATAAACCTCACAAGGTTCCTTGCATTGGCTTGCTGACCTGGATCGAAGTCTCAGCGATTGTAAGTTTAGGGACGGGGGGGGGGGGGGGTGAGAGAGCAAGGGAACCAAAGCCTTTCATGGGCAAACAATGTCAACGTTCTCTCCTATTCTTCAGAATTGATTTGTATTTAGCCTACGTTTATGCTGTGTTTCACCTTCATGTCGATTTGTTTTGCCCATTGGTCGTCTTCCGCATTACACACTGAACAGCTTTGATTCATATTGTAAATGGCAGCATTATTCGCTACCATGCATAGCAGGCGTATGGAGATATTTGGGACATCATACAGCAGACTCTAGTATCTAAAGCTATTTAATGTCTGTTTGTAGCCTCGGTTCTTCAGAGTGCTTGCTTAGGGTGCCTTCGGCATAAGTTCGTGATGCTCAAGATGAATATGTCGCAGGCGTTTGCCGT